TCTCATACAGCTTTTCTTAATCCTGTATCATTGTGAGTTTACGTACAGGAATAAATCTTTTTTGCCTACTGTCTTATATGTACACCTGTAATCTATGTATGTATGTAATCTTGTATGTACCAGGCTTTAAACCATGGTCGGGCATTCGCCTATCTCGCAATGTTTCTTGCCCGGGCACAGGATACCACTGCCCGACCAAGGTTTATTCTCTGGTATGTACAATGCTTAAATTATGAATATGATGATTTGCAATTTTTTCTACTCTCTAAGCCTAAATACTTGATCGAGTATTTCGGTTGTGTGGCTACAAATGGATAGAGCATTTTTATAATTTGGGCAAACATCTTCAATTTCTGAAAAATTAGAACTGAAATCAGAACGCACCAAATTAAGCCTACGAATTTGCTCCAACATTGACATCAAACGAAATTGGGGCAAAATGCAAGTAAGTTAAATAATCTTGATTTCAGTTTTTAATGTATTCAGCAACTTTGCAGCCACATAAACATTTCTGTGTATAATATGTCACCAAATGTTATTAGGTATTTACGAGACACACAAAGAAAACCGCAATTGAGTGACAATGATATGGTAATTTTTGTCAACAGAACTATTTTCAAAAGATTAAAGGAAAGTAAGTGCCACATTTTTTATGACAACGATACAATCCTTATCTTGAGCCAAATTTAACTTTAAATAAAAGTAACGGTTATGCCTTCATTAATACAAAATGATTGCAACTCATTGCTTACTCAATTCCTAATTATTTTTCCCGGCATACTTTTTCCCTTCATTCCCTTCATTCCAAATACTTACTCATCTTACTTTCTGAATAGTTGAAGTGAATAATTTTATCGTAATAAATTTTACAAGAAGCGGTAATTTTAACCGTTGGCAAAAGGTTTCGCATTAGAAATATACTAACGACGATACCGATTGGCTCTCTTAAATAATTTTCTGAACCAAATTCATGCTTAAATAGATTCCAGGAACAAGCATATTGGCAAGTGTTCTTTACGCCTCAGGTATAGAACTAAATATTAATTGGAATGATTTTTCTCTTAACGTGAACAGTATCATAAGTGAACCGTTTGAAACTGTATTTTCAATGACATTTTAGTATGGGATGAATAAGTGTCCCTCTCCTACGGCTGGGGTTGAATTGCCTGATTCATGATTTTTAGATACATAAAACTCCATTTAGTAGGTCTGCTCATCTACTCAATGGACATTAACTTATTTAGTTTAATCACCCTAAGTGACTTCCTGGCGGCCTGATTGATTTTTTTTGTTTTTTTTCCTTGTAGAAATGGATTTAGAGCTCCGACGGGAATTTCTACTTCTACTAGACTCGCGTGAGTTGTTAGAACCCGCGAATGAAGGAGTGGAACGTGTCGATCTCGCTGTTCTACTCATTCGTCGGTCCTGGCAAAATCTCATTATGTAGTTGCGGGAAACAATTATACTGTTCAGTTTGTGACGGGGGATTGAATTGTTGCTGAAAAGTCAGGCTTTCGTAGAGTAATAAAATTAAAATTTAATGGTTAGGGCTTACCATCCCTTTCCACTGAACCTTGTAAAGAATCGTGTCGTTCTCCCATTTTAAATCTACAATGTCTTCTACCTCATAATCTTCTTCTGAAACACCTGGGCGGGCGACTTAAGAGTGAATGAACTGTGCCCTCCACTAGTCAGGTAGCCTAACGAAAATGTGAAAACCTTAACCAAAAGTGAAGAGCAGGCATCACTGAAGGGCAACATGTATATATACATACATATGTGAGTCTTAAAGTTAGTAAGACAATTGAATGTTCTATATATATATATTCCTACTTCTAAGTAATGAAGGGGTTGAAAATATTCCTTATAAGATCAGGCATAGAATCGTGCAAGCAAAGATACTCAGTATTAACTAGTAATATGATAAAACTACACAAATTGTCCAGTATCCTTAAATACCTGCTGTCAATCAGGTACGCAACTGGTTGGACTTGGGTTGTATTTATAATATTTATTATTTTCTTATTATTCATTTATTTATTATTTGTTTATTTTATTATTTATAGTTTATAGTTTATAGTTATTATTTATTTATTTATTTACTATTTATTTATTTATTATTTATTTGTTATTTATTATTTATTATTTTTTTCCGAAATGACTAGACTCCTCCCTTGTTAGATATGCTCAGTTGTTTGACATTTTATATAATATGAGTATGGACATGATTTACTTATCGAGGCCAGCGACCATTGAGAAACGGTTCGACTGCAGGTTCTAATAGTAAAACAAGAATAGACAGGGTAATATGACGCGTCATTATTATTATTAGGATATACATAGTTGGCGCCCCGGTAGGTGTGGTCCGGTTAACCCCAAAAGTTTACAGAATCCTCCCCGTAGGGTCGTATGTATGATACCGCAAACCGATTTCGATTATCTCAATCGGTTCTCTATTTATCGTGCTGACAGACGGACAGACAGACTAACTAAGTCATCGCATAAAGTAGCTTGCGCTACTTAATAAACTGTTGTAAATAAATAATATGTAGCATTGGGGTGAATTTGGACGGGTCGGTCTCAAAGAATGGCGATCCAGCTCACCTCTAATTGACATGCATACAAAATTTATACATGTTTGTTCCACAAAATTAGTATCCGGTTATATTTCAGTGTTGACACAGGTCAGATTGTCCAGCTACAAGACAATTTCATCGACAATTGGTCACTTTTATTCTCTCCGTCACGTGTCATGACAAGATAAGCAAGAGAAAAGTTATGTTTGTTTTAAATGATGTGCAGTTGCTATTGTGAAGCTAGTACATGCTGTAAACCAGAGTCTAACAACACATGGCCTTGTGGCGCAACGGATAACGCGTTTGACTACGGATCAAAAGATTCCAGGTTCGAATCCTGGCAAGGTCGTACTTTACTTTTGTAACTTATTTTTTAACATTTTCGGAACTTTTTTTGCACTTTTTGGCTGCAAACAGGACTAGTATGTGTGTATATATGATTGTACACATTTTACGGCCGCTAAGGATCCATAAAGGGGCTTTGACTAATTTTTGGAATGATTCCTACATTTTTAGGAATCGATTACATGATTTTTTGTAAGCAATTAAATGTATGGTTAAGGTTGGGTTGAGTTGTATTAGCGGCAAAAACTTAAAATCGGTAGTGAGTAATTTGTTATTTTTAGTCATGTTTTTATTTCGCAAATTATTTGCTACATGAGTTGTGAAGCGAGATAAATCGCTGTCATGAGTATGACTATAGGCTTTTTATTATGTTTCCTAATATGTACTATGATAGGACGGTTTTTTCAATTAAGTTGATAGTCGGCCTTTAAATTCTAACTACAAATAAACCATTGAAACGCATGTAACCAAGGGGTGAAAGCAGTATGTCATGCTTCAAAGCGAATATAATATTGTTTTTGAAAATCTGTTAAAAGTGACACGTTTGCGACATTTATGTCATATGTATCAAATTGAACAGTTGATGACCTTTTGTGACCTTCAAGTGGCCGTTCGTGACCTCTGAGGTCAAAATGGAGGTCCCCATTGAATTCTGGGTTAAATTTCACTTCAAATTGACATGTTTCGGATTTATCATTGGTGACCTTTTTTACCATTTTTTACCCTTCAGGGTGTGACCTACAGTGCCCATCTTTGAACTCGACGTGTCTCTTAACGTTAGGAGTTTACGTTCAAAATTTCAAGTCTCTATGTCTTCTCGTTCAAAAGTTATCGGAGCTACGGACAGACGGACATAACGATCTTATAAAGGGCTTTCACCCCTTAATAAATGTGAAAGTTAGGGGCAGGTGGCAATTTTAGCATCAAATTCGTGTTGTCATGAAAATTTACGCATTATTATGTGTATATAAACGAAGTTACAGATTGGCTTTAATTTCTCGCTCAACTCTTAGGCTATATGTTTAAAACCACGAATTATTTGTTACACATCCAGTCTCACATGTGTAGTTCTGGCGTAGAAAAAAAATCAATCCTTCATTTAAGGCAGCATACGGCGCATTGGCACTAAATACGTACCACTAATGCTTTCAATTGATTTGATTACCAAAAGGATATGGCATGCAGGAAAATGTTTTCATTTTTATAGTAAAGTCGAAGAATACTTTATCATATATATGCATATATACTCTGTTCTATAGCAGCTACACATTGTAGAAATTTAATAAGCATGTGCATCCAGATACGGAAATGCATGCATGCATAGATACCCACATACATTTTTTGTCACACCTTCGGATTCTATAAATGATGAAAGAACAAGTCGACGATGGCGAGATACATAAATGACAAAAGTCTTTATCTACATAAGTGATTAAGGGAGCGTGTAGAAACTTTTTATTTTATTGGAAAACTAAAGAACCTTTGAGGTTCTTAAATTTATTAATGTAGTAATATGTAAATAATAATGACAATAATGTAATAATGTTTAAATAATGTATAATGCCATCCTCAAGGTGTTCTTGTGTGCATATTTTGCATTTGTAATTTGTTGATTTTGTTAAATATTTTAACATACAAATGAAAATGCAAAAATGAAAATGCAAAAATGCACTGATTTTGCTTTTACTCGAAATTTGGTTAGGAACAAAATTTGCGTAATAATGTGCTATATAAATTTTAATTGAATTTAAATATTGGGTTAATATATGCATGACATGCATAAATATGACGTGTATAAATATTTATTGCAAGAGTATCGTGTATACGGATGTGTACACTTTAAGAAATCCAAAGTGGCAAGTTGGGACTACTTGTGTGGTTAATAGTGATAACGGTCGCCACCTTGACCTGCGACCTGTGTTTATTTACCAGTCACAAGATATCATTACTTCGGTTCAGTAGAGTAACAGTCTTGTCACAGTGTCACAGCCCGCTTATATTCTTTTTTGAGTACTATAATTAGTGTGGATTTTGTGTCATCTCATGTCTTAAAATAAAAGTGAGAATTTATTTTTGCAGATACGCCTCAACCTGTGGAAAACTGCAGCATTATAAATCGGACGAGCACATCTGTGGAAATTACATGTGAGCCAGGATTTGACGGAGGACTCCCACAGTCATTTTACCTCGAAGCTTTCCAAGCTGCACCTGCAGATCGTCGTGGACTCTATTTTAATATTTCGTCATCCAGTCCAACTTTCTCTCTAAGTGGATTAGATCCTGATGGAACCTTTCACTTTAAAATTTATTCCGTCAACAGGAAGGGCAGAAGTTCACCTTCGATCATGGACAACATTGCACTAAACTATCCATCAATGCAATCTGGTAAGGATAGCAGTTCTGGCTCCAAATTTTTATAAATTATTTGTTATGTATTAAGCATGATGTGGTCCGAATTACAAGATTCGAGTCATCAGTTTGGCTTGGTGTGCCTGGTCTCTCATTCTACGAGTCTATGTGGGCAAAATGATCACAGTTACTTCCATTTAATGACGACAGGAAGGAAATATGGCACTTGGCTTTTCTCCTCTCGTGTTGCATGAAGCAATTTGCTGGGAAACGAGATTCCAGTGGTTCGGGTTGTAACAAAAATTAGGAGATATAGTGACAAACTCCACCATAGCATACAACAAAAAATTATGACCAACCTTGCACCAAAATAACTTTCACACTAGATTTGCTAATATTGAATACTTTAAATAAATATTCCACATTCAGCAGAATGTAACCCTTTGTTAGACCAATATTAGGAATAGTCTAAGCTTGATACTAGGTAAAAAAAAATGAACAAAGGAGACCGGACTAATGGAACGGTGTTTAACTTGTTCGTTCTGTTTTTTTTATTTTCCATGTTAGCAAGTGCCTAGTTTTTTGTATCCACTTGGATTCCTAATGACTCGCGAGTAACTGAATCGATAGGATTGGCACAACCTTTGAAGACGACCACCTGGAAATTTCCATCCGACCGAACCACAAACTAGCCAAATGTTCAGCCAATAGTTCTGTAGGATTTTGTGGATGATAGTAAATGAGAAGAGCATTATTTCCAGCCTCCGGGTTACTAGTTTGTGTTTTTACTCGTTACAATATATGTATCCAGGAAGCTGCAAGTTTCCAAAGTCTATTGATTTCAAAGTGGTGGTTAATGGACAAGGGGCTCGTGAAAATGTTGCATGAATAAAGATTATTACTGAGCGCATGAAACGTGTTATTAATAACACGGCAAGCTAAATAGCGTTTGGACGCAATTCAATTAAGCCTCCTACAGATACGTCGGGTGCATGTCGGATATTATGACCACGTATTAATAAATGTCGTTTTTATACACACGAGTCATGGCGACACAAAATTCAAAAATGAGCTAATATGTGTACATGTGTACGCTCGCTTATCCTTTTGAAAATACAATTTTCTTACATGGTTGTAAAGTATACGTACATTTATTTTCAGCAAAAGTTCGAGATTTGGAGAAAACCACAATTGCCATCATCATCGGTGCCTCCGTAAGTTTAAATTTTTCTTGCTGATACCTTTCCTGTGGTTTCCTCTAATATTCCAGAAATTAAATTGTAGTTAAACCACGCTCAGCCAAACAAAGGCTAAGCTAAAGACGAGCTTTAATGTTTTGCATAGTGATCTTACAAATAATAATTAAACTTCCTAAAATAAAAATAGAATTTTTGAAATTAGCTTCTAATCGCAACAAATTAGAGGCGAGTAAAATGAAGAAATCAGTTGTCCGAGGTTGCTTTGAACATTAAATTTGGTTTTTCAGTCGGCGGTCTGCCTCTCGGTGGTCTCCCTAATTATTTTCATAGTGCACCGAATCAAGAATCCCATTAATGCTCCAGAGTTGGAAAAGTCGTACAGCCGAGAGTTTCGACCATCGCGTCGATCTTCCACAAACGATGAGCTCTACCACCACAATTCTAAAAAGCCAACCAACACAATTGATATTCCTTTTCCTGCAACAAATGAAAATGACTTGGATGAAGAGGATCCAGATTTAATACCATCAACAAGAAACGGTAACCGGCTTTTGTTTAACACGTACATACATTATGCGTTTCGCCACATATTGTAACTACAAGAAAAATTTTACTATCGTAGAGTTACTCAGATTTGCTTGATTTTTTGCGTACATAAAGACCCCTGAGTTGTGTTGCTACATTCTCGAACAATTTGTGTTCAGCATACTTTAATAGGAGACAAAAATCACTTTTCACAAAATTGTTAAGGCTCTGTACCAGTAATTCACCAAGGTATTCAAGTACCCTTACTACCCAAATTTCTTGGGACTGAAGCGTGATAGCATGTTTTGGAAAAAAGTCGTTGGTGGTAAATTTATCAACATATTTTTTAATGAAAATATGATGCCACCTAGTACCACTAACTTTGCGAAAAAAATAAAACTGCCATTAATGTTTCAAAAATTTCAAAAGACGTTCACAATTTTTGGGGTAGTTATACTTTCATAATTCTTGTTCATAACGGTGGAGAATAGTGTGGCGCAGCTGGTATAATGGGTCATAGATCCAGAAAAATGGTGGTCGACAGTTTTTCTTGCAGAAAACTTTCCACTGACCCAATTACGCTCTCTTCTTTTAAAAATAGTAAAATTTTGGAAGTGTTTTGGAGTCTCTCAATGATTAATCCACCTCGGCTATAGTGTTGACCACAACTTCTAATTCAAAATTTCGTGCAAAATACGCTAATACAGACAGGAACGTCTTTTGAAAAGTTGCATCCGGCTAGTTGTCAGGTAGTATATAAGATTTATGTATTGAAAAAAAACTCGAATTTTCGAAGTTTGAAACTTTGAATTCATCAAAATATTGGTATTCAGAAGGTAATCCGAAGGTAAAAAGCAAGTTTGCGTATAGTTCTTATTTATTTCTCATTCACTTTTGACCTATTAATTTTTCCAAATTTACTTCCCCCATTTTTCCAGGGGGAGGGGGAGAGGTTTCATATAATTTTAAAATTAATTGGGTAACTAAGGTCAAAAATATATTTGGGTGTTTAAAGTTGGTACAGAGCCTTAAAACATTTTAGAAATTGTATTTTCTAAGGAGCGTAGAAAAAAATATCCTTGAACTCAGGGGTGCCCATGCAGTGCCTACAATAAAGTAAATCTGAGTAACTCCAGTAAAATTTTGCCGAACGGTATGCATCAATGTTTGAAAATTATTTCCGACTGGTTAAAGTAGACAAAAACTAGAAGTAGAGACATGTCACATCAGATGCATATTATGTAGCACTAGTTCTCAAATTATTCCAAAAATTTCCTTTGGTATCAAAACAGCCGAAACTTTCTTTGCAAAGTAGAACGCAAACTGTGTAATTAAAATGAGGAAGACCAGTAGTTTGACTTTTGGGACGACAAAGTTGGGCTGATCGCTCAACTCTTTTGTGCTGCATTCTACATGGGTTACCACCAGCAGGGGAATTTGAACGAAAGTAGCAGTTTGTACTTTTGTTCAAATTGTAATTATGGTCAGCCGGAATTTAAAAATGAAAGATTAATATTACGCAGGAATGTATGCGACAAAACGAGATGAGTAGGTAGGATACATACATAATTGAGATTTCTCATCTCATTATTTCTCACTAGAAAGCCAACATATAAATATAAGGCACTTGCAATTTGGTCATGTGTAAAATTCTAATAAAAAATCAATGAGCAATTCATTTTCTTTTCCCTTTAGAACGTGATTATCCCCAGAGTCCTGTAACTTTTCGTGATTAAACAAATTCAGCAGAGCGTTTGGTTGTATGTATGTCGGCTGTCGAGGTGTATATTATCCAAGCTGATCAACGTAACAATGGATGAAGCAAACATGTTATAGGGATATATTCAGGGAAATTTAATGACGTAAAATTATACGCTTTATCTCCCAAAGAGAGACAGTAATTAGCCAAGTTTTTCCGCAACATTTCTTTTCAGCTTCCGTCGTCTATTCTGACTAAGACGTCTTTTATTCTCCACATGATATTCTCTCTCTTTCTCTTATCCACTTTCACGTTCCCCATTACTTTCGCCAACTTCTGCCACCATGAGGGAAAGAATACGCCTTTGTCAGTCAGGGATTATCTTTTCTCTTTTCTCTCTCTACTCTTGGGTTATTATTCAACCTTTTTCCCTGACACTGCAACTTTCACTACGGAGTACTAGTCTATAGTGCATATGTGCTTTCATTATGCATCAGTTAGATATTAACTCGTATTCAATGAGTGGTAGGAATATATGTAAGTGTACATGCAATTGCGAGTATTTCTTTAAACTTGAATGTTCTTTGCCCTCTGCAAATGATAATTAATTATTCCAAAGTGAAAGTGAAGGAAGGGATTTAACCCACCAAACAAACCAAAAAGAGTAAACAGTTTAGAGTCACATTATGTTTTCTTCTGTAAAAGTAACCTTCCAATTTAAGATGGAGGGAAGAAAGTATAGAAAGATGTTGATAATCCCTTTCAAACTAAAAGTTAATGCAAAGAGCAAGCTGTTAGTGTTGATGAGTCAATTTTGAAAATACGAGTCGCGTTTGTAATCCTTTTCAATTAATAATTTTTTGAATGACTCGAAGGACACTATATTTTCTTCGTTTTAAAAGGTGCAGTGTACATATGCAGTGTACGCATATGTGACTAGACAGGGAAGTTGTGTAGTGTGTAAAACTGAGGAGTTGTATATATGTATGTACATACATACGTGTTGTGAAATCAATGTCAGAGAACCAAATACATTAGGGAAACATTAAGGATCTGCTGTAACCACACCACTTTCACTTGTATGAACACATTGTGTAGTAAGACGCACACAGTGCACAAGGTTTGTGAAAAGAAATATTGGTTTTGCGTCTCTCATTTGTATTGATGGTTAATGTGCACGGTATGTTGGGTAGCGGTTGCATGCAATATGTAACTTAAATCTGTATGCTGGCCCGAGGGATTGACAGGATCGTCGTAATGATCTCGTATTAATGCTTATGAAGCAGGTTGACCCTCGTGTCGAATCCCTCGATGATGATGATGGTTTGTTCATTTGCAGTGAAAACGGGCATGGGGAAGACTTACTCGCGTCTGAGTAATGGAGAAATTAATCAACGTTATGGGGTCGGATTCGTTGAAAAAATTCCTTTGAGGACTGTAGACCCCGATGTACCATTAACAATGGAACAACACTCAGGCTTGTCTAATTACGCCACGTTTAGGACCAACAAACCCAATGGGTATGGACTACAGGTAAATTTAACTGCTTTCTTTGCAACCTTTATGCTCCATTAGGTGCTTTACCTACCCTGACTGCCTCCATTTGCTTCCGACTTTATCTTTCCTGGTCGTCGTCGTTGCATTTGTGGAATTTTAACGAGTACTTGCGTTGGCGTTTCCCGTGTCAATGAACGACCTGCTGTCAAAGAAGAGAAAAGACGTTAATATTTTGGATATTTGTAACACAAAGCGCGTACTTGGTCCGATGAGGAATCACGCTATATTTATTTTTATGTGGGTGGTGAATGAATCTCGATTTTTTATGTCTGAAATTCCAGCACACAAGACAAGGACCACCCACCCGACCAATAGTGAGCAGCTCGGGCAGTTTTCATGGGAAACCTTCATCCGTCGTTGTCAATATTGATACCAGATTAATAGGCCAACAGTTAGCTTCGAATCAACTTCCAGAGAGCTGTGTTTAGCCAGGGAGAGAATTTGAATGGATTGTGAGTGCATTTATCACAGTCATTGCCAACACGGTCCAGTGACTAAATATCTCTCCCATGGATAGCTACGAAGACTCTTCAACCTGTAACTACATATAATTTCGTCCTGCCACCACCACGAGGCAGCCGACAAAAGGAGAAAGAAGTCTTTCTCAGCTCCCTCGTAGTAGTTACATGACAACACATTCTTTGCCTTCCGGATTCTCTCAAGAACTTTCTCTCATGACTCTGTGGCTCAACTCCACATGCAGATTCCTCGACTCCTCCGTCGGCTTCCTTCCTTCCTTTCACCAACTGATGATTGGATTTTTGGTACAAGTTACTCAAATTAATCATGTCACCAAGAACACGCCCAATATTTGGATTACAGAATGTGCGTTGTGTGTTAACAATGGAACGAAGCTTCAACTTCCAGTCGACTTCTCCGTCATCATGTTGGTCTTCTCAACTTGTGTAGCGCTTTACAACACGTACTCTAGTGTCGTATGTATACATGACGATGAGCTGACAAACACGTACTTGAAATCTTAAATAAATTCGCCATTGTGACAAAATATAAAATGTTCTCGGGATGTGTGAGATTCAAAAATATAGTTCAAAGCTTCAACACCTCACACGTGCGTGTCAAAGTGACTTGATACAAATCATAATAATAATACTAAAAATTATTACCTTCTTCATATTAATTCTCACAAGTTGATGCTACCAAATATATCAAATGAGATACGCATTAAGAAGTAACATCACCAGATGAAACCGCACTACCACATCTACCCAACCTTCTTAGCTGGTTGTGTGGAAACATAACCGTAATCATACAATTTTACGGTATGACTACCATTACACAATTCAACGTGGGTGTGTGAGCCCGCAGTACAAATCTGATGGAAACCAGGCTCGGTTCTCACTAAAGTATGACTGACGGAAACCGTGAGAGGAAATGAAACGAGGGAAAGGAGCGCAAAACTGACAAAAGTGGTTACTTTGCAGCGGCGTGGTTTCAAAAGTATGAGCTGTGTTCGCTCTTCATGCAAACTATATTAAACAATTACCTCCAGTGCAGTATCATCATCCATCTACTTCCACCTTGACAAAAGTGTAACGTTAACTGCATATTACATATTGTGTGCATCTGCTCCATTATCAGGTAGATTAATTGCATGCAGGACGACATGCTTTGTCTCATTAATTTAGCACTATCTGAATCTTTTGTGAATTATGATGCGAATTATGATGATCCGTTCCATTGTCATGGCAGCAATTTCCCAGCCCAACTGTAGACGACCGTCACAAGGTGCACAGCACAAGAAGGAATACAAGTTTGCATTAAAGCAATCGAGTAAATGTGACATGGCAGGCTAAATTCAACTTTAGCAAAACACTTCCTCTTTCCAGTCGTGAGCTATCCTATGCTTGAAGCAATCCAACCAATTAAATCAAGTTTCTACCTCTCTCTGTGGACTTGAAGTTTAACGGTTTGAGTCTAAAAGTGTGACTGAATGTGTGGTGCATTGTTTCCTAATTCTAATGGATTTAAGCCCATCCCACCACCGAACAAGACTGTGAAATCTACATTATGACAGAAGCAACAACGACACATTTCTGCATCTTTTAATAAGAAGATTAATTCTGCTGAACTCGTATATTTATGGTGTTAAACTTTCCACTCAATTTCTTATCCAGCACCCTTTACGGCATTTAAATTTGGCTAACTGCGTAAATTACAACGAGACATTTTATGGGACCTCGACCCACTTGTATATACATAAATAAATAAATAGATTGTAATAATTATTGAAATTAAAAGTAATGCTAGCATAATGAGTAGCAGAGTTGCGAATGCTGTTTGAGATGGCAGACTACATTTTCATGTTTTACTACGATCCCTTAAGTTGAGGTTGTGATATGGTCGAATGAGCTTGTCTAGTTGCGTCTTGTACAATTTATTCTGCTGCTGCCGCAGTTATTGGGATAGGCTCTGACCATTTTTGTGTTGATTCTTCAAGTATTTAACATTCTGCAGAAAGGAATTGAAGATGGCCATTTCGATCCCACTGTTATTGCTGTACTTACACTTATCTCTATCTTAATGCATTACACACCATTTCCATCCTTGCTAAGAAAACCAACATCGCGAGAAGGAGAAACTCTGCTGCATAGGGCTGCTGCTGATGTAGATGAGATTTCTCTTCACATTTGCCATTCCGATTCGATTGAGATTTGGATTGAGATGCCCTTTCATGGGCGATGGCCACATTTCACATCCAAATCATCTGCCCTCACTACGACACGCGGAACCCCAGGAATCTCCTCGAATCCAACCTCTTATCTCCTGGATGGATGGGCAAATGTTGCTGTTATTGCTGTGAGTAAAACTAAACCTGGTTCAAAGTTCACATCCATGTACAGTAAAACGAGTGAGGAGAACCATTTCGAAATGCCCGTGTCTCGGATTTGAAACCAAACCACCGTAACTAACCAACCAACCACTCTCCCCAACAATACCTCGGAAGACGCTTGAACACTTAAACTTTCCCCATGCGAAACCATTTACATGCTGCCTCCGCCCAGATAAAAATAAACGAAGGGTGTTGAATGACTCGTCTTTTTTTAGAAATTGAGTCCATCGTCGTTCCTAAGAGTGACCAAGAATGTGTGGCATTGTCATCTGCAGGCAGTAGCAGGATCAAATTCACCACCCAGCAAGAGTGCTTCGTGTGTCTAATCATTATTATCAACATTCTGCTTTCCATGTGTTCCTACATGTAATGCGTTTAGAATGACGATAATCAATTCCTTCCCAATCGTCATGAGGTGCGATAGAGAACTTAAATGGCGCAGAAATGTGAATCTATTTGGTGTAATGAGTCCCCTTAATAGAACATAATATGAGTGTTTTTTGTTTCTTTTTGGTGCGTGCGCGTACGTTTGTAAGCAAGTGTAAAAGTTAAAAAAAAAGAAAAGAAAAATGAATATGCTACATAAATAAGGGTGAACAGAAATTAATGTACTGTGTGCTAATACGGTTTGTATTTATATATAATAATATATGTAATAGAGATGGGGAAAGTCAAGAATATACAGCATAAAAATAAACTATGAGATATCATGACTGAAAATACAAATGACAACTGTATTACTATTATGACAACCTTGCCTAAAAGTAGAAGAAAAGAAAAATGAAATTGAATGTATTTAATTTGTTGAAATCTACAATATTTTATGTACACACATACTCATAAAGTGACAAAACTGAATTGAAAACTGGATAGATTGCTAAAGTAAGAGCGTGAATTTACTGTGCGATCCTTTTCCCTTCTTGGCAGGAAATAGTTGAAAAAGTTTTGACAATTTCCTCTCTCAAATTATTATCCCATGTTGCACACTCGAGTTCTCTTCTATCACGAGGGAACATTACTCAAAGTACTTTGCAGGATTGGAGTGAAAGTTGTGAAAGTGAGAACAAGATGGGTTGTGTATCATCATTGACTATTAATGATTTGGAATGATTTTACCATACAAAGTGAGTGAGAATCGTGCACAATGGTTTGGAATGATCACAATGTAAAATTCTAGATTACAAATTGTACAAAGTGAATGGCGTGGTTTACATATAATAATTTACATGTGTAGCTATTTAAGTATGTCTATAAATCGGTATATACTCGTGGTAAATAGTTGGAGTTGTACCATTTTTAACACTTACATTGATTAGTTCCTACTATAAAAGATAGATATACATACGATTGAATTATGGTAAATGGCGCCCATTTAATCATGTCGTGCATATTGTGCATATATTATACTGTCAACTGTCTACTTAATAAAATAATAAAATATTTCTGAAACAAATTACGAATCGAAAGACACGATAATTGAATTAATAATTGCGCAATTTGCGAATGAAGTTCACGTCTGAACGAGATACATTTAGGAGGACATATAATTGGTCAATCTTGTCACACAGAAGCGGCAATATTTTCCTAAAAGGTTGAGGTATTTTCAAAATAATCCACTTCATTTTATTATAACTATTTTGGTACTTATTCAAACTAGACGTTGCAGGGAATAACTGCGATATAGAAGATCTATATTTACATAATATTAAACGTACGGATTTTTTTTTCGTGAGAAACTCTTTGTGGCAGTGGTTGACCTGCGGCAATGGTTTTCTTGGGATGCCGAGCATTAGCCAAAAGAGCTAATGCGGATACATTATTATTTCCTTGTCGACCAAAATGAAAAGTAAAAGAGAAAGCACCGGCGAAGGAGCTAAATCCAGTTGCACAGTAATCATAGGAACCCACCACATTCCACCCATTCATTTTGCTTTGAAGTTTTGCTTCTTCTTCTGCCAGAATTGTTATATCCAATTTTATCTACCGAGCCAGAAGGTGATCCAATTTACTTTCACTTAAAAGGAAACGTATCTGCTTATTCCATTAGCGGACGACCTTTTAAACAGTTTGAATTCAACCAACTTTGAAAGTTTCCATTTCATAACAACCCAAGATTTAATGGAATTAAATCCGCTTTTTGTTTATATATACAGGAATATAATTGTTTTACATTTTTGCAACAACTTCTCCCAGTTTTGTGACAAAAAGTTTCGATAGCAATTTTCGACTTTGCGAATGCAGTTTGTGTCAACATTTTAGTTTGTGGCGTGGCATGATGCTGCACAAAAAAAGCAATCTGGAAGAAATAACATCCTTTTTTGTTCCCGGAAAATAGTTTTGTCTACAGATGCATTCTTCTCTCCTATTTCTCATACAGTAATTTGTAGGTCAGGCAAAAATCAATTTCTATTCCTTGGAACCATGCATGTACGCAAGGAAGGTGCGTGATCAACAAAATTTTATCGTCAACTTTCCCATCCAATCTACCCGAAGATCATCCAGCCCATAATGTACGTCTCGTCGGCCTGCTGGTGCTTGATCTTTCTAGGCCCGCCCTAAAGACGTCCAACGCTGAATATTGGGCAAATTGGATTTCCAAGCCTTGTAAGTACTAATCGTTATTCAGTTGCATCCCCCTCATCTTAAGAGTCATTTAATACTGCGAGTCATCCCAAGACACCTCGCCCTTTTATTCTTAAGCGTAATGAAACAATGGTAAAAATGTTATTCATGTCATTATAATATGAACGAGAGGTGACGCACCAAAGCATATGACACAATTCCACGTTCAGGTTATTCTATCTTTTTTATTGAACTTTCACCTAAGCAACATTTTTAATTTTTAGTTTCGTGTATTGATTAAAATCTTACAAATCTCTCACGTAAAACGTTTTGCGATTATTATTCGCTTGGAACGTCATCGTTCGACAACAAATATGTAAGTCTTTGTCTTTGATGTCTACCCATAAGTCGACTCTAACGAAGTAAACTTCCTTGAAAAAACTACAGATAATTGTATTTATTCTTTGTGGAGCCTCGTTGCAGCCCAAAGTGAAAAAGTGAGAGAGATATGAGTCATTGGAACGTTGTACATACTCACCTCGAGCAAAATGGTGAAAGGTGAAAGTCGAATGTAGGTCGGACGGGAGCTGGGACGTTGATAGCCCTTAAATCGTGACCTGAGAATTTTTGCTTTTATGTCTCATATCCCAGAAACACATTGCTCAAATAATGGTGCAAGTATAATGCAAGTTGAAATAGTGCAGTGTGTTTGTACATACATACGTAATACCTAACTGCATATGTACCAAGCGCAGGAGATGTCTGGCTGGAAATGGAATTGTGTCTGGCGTAACAGGGAAAGAGTTAGTTTCGTGTAAATGGATGTACAATGCAGGAGTAGAGTAGTAAAGATTCTGGGGAAATTCAGATATTCTGTGCACATTTATTTACCTCGCATTACTTGTCAAAGGGTGAAAGTTGCACGTGATGTTTTTTCTACCCTAATTTATGTTATGTAATTGAAATTCAATATTACGAACCAATTGATTTGAATTAATGTTCAATTTTTTAGATTAATTACTCCATTACACTAGAATTGTCCAGACTCTTGGGTGCAGCCAGTGTGTGGTGCTTATAATTCTGTGACAATGAACAGTGAGTAGTTTCGATCATTAACGTTCTATAAGCACCTCGCGTAGCTGTGTTGTCTCTACCCGACTACATAATCCCACTGGAATAGCAGGAGGTGTTACGGTAGTTCCCTTTCCTTATATAATTAACACTTCGTTTTTGCAGTTGAGTTTCAAGCATCCAACAATTTCAGGGATCATGATAGTTTTCACTTCACTCAACAAAAATAAGCGCCATCGTCGCTTCAAGCTCATGGAATAAAGATGTAAAATTGTTATTAGTTGTCTATTTTAGTATTCAGAGGTTGTTACTCGTCAGTGGGTTTGGTGAACTCTGATAATAAGCTCCTCGCAATCCAATTTAAATAGTAAAGTCAACTCCCATCACATCAACACATTTTTAGCAATCTTGTTCCTCTCCATTATATATTTTGCCTCCATTATTCCGTTTTGCTTTGTACTTTGCTGCCAAACTAGCCAAGCTGACTATAGATTATTAGAGGCATAGAACTGCTATACTTGTGCATGTATATTTAACACAAATATACAATATCCTCTGCGTTACTTACTGATTTTCGATTGGCGGAAGGAATACAATTTTCAATTTTTGAATAGATAATTTTTATGACAGGATTGGAATTGAATTGGGTGCTTTGTGGGGGATGAATTAATTATCTTTTATCAGAAATTGTTTCTTTGCATCTAGGAAACTGGATGAAGCTGAAGTTGGGTCCCTTGAGTGTTTTGTGCCCTACTTTGCTTACTTTCACTCAAAACTCTTAAGAAATGAAATAACGTTCAAACATCGCTGGTTTTCTTGGCTTGAGCGGGTTCCCTTTGGCTCTAGCTGGCTTTCAGCAGAAGTTTTGCAATTAAGCGTAACTGCTTCATCCTACTACATCACGAGTTTTACATCGTACAAAAATACTGTGAAGGGACGTTAAAATCTGATGGCGGGAATACAATTTCCGCTTTATTTAATCGCACATCCGCTGCTTCTCCATTTTTACGCAAACTTTTTGAGATACAATAAATTATTATCTTTGTATATATACAGTTTGTGTAAAGAACTCAACTTGTTTCAAGTTATGAAACATATTTACCACAGAGAACAATATTTTTTGTTACATACATAGGTATATACGATGCATGCATGTATGGAAATAATCTTATGTCCGCACCACACCGAGCTTTGTAAACAACGTCCTCTTAACTAACCTGATAATAAAAGATTTGTACGAACCAACAGTTGAAGCGGAGAAGGAGAAACTCGAGTTAAGAAAGGAAGCCATTTAGCAAGTCACGAGAGAACAAAGGAATCTGACATTTTTACGTACTCCGCCGCTTAAAAGCTTTCTCGGTCTGTTGAAAACTGAGAGAAGAATTGAGAGTAAAATATGTTCCAAATCACAACTTTTATAGCTTATTACATTTAATGGGGTGAAAACCTGTGAAATATTTTCCTTAACACATCATCGACACAAATGGGCAAGTAAATCTGCAACTAAAAATATATGTAGTGCTCAAGATATATATCATGTAATGCAGCAACTGAAGCACTAAATCGGATCAACATTAAATGTTTTATATGCCAATTATCAGCCAACAAAATAAGCTGCGACATTACTCATTGTAAATGGGACAGATAATAGAGTGTGCTTGGCTAGTGAGCTATTTGGAGGGATTTCCATCGTCACACGGCTACATGTTACACGATGCTCGAACAAAAGGTTAGAAAGAGTGTGATGATCCCATGGATTGTTGTTGCTGAGCGGCATCTCGGGTCATATTTTAATGAAATCTTGGTACGGCGACCTTATTTTTTTGCATATATACTTATAAATATTTATGCTTCAACATAGTACATAAATACATAGAGAAGTACGTACTTATGCTATTCATAAAATACATATTTTTTATATACCCAATATAGGATAATTGCCTACGTGTTACCACGTGGTTTGTTTGTGCATGATTAAATTTTTTCACCTCGTTATCATTCCTGGGTTCCAAGTCCCATTGTTGATCCACAAGCGAGATTCCAGCAACTGCGGGGTGAATTGGTAACTGCGTATTGAGAAATAATATGAAACCGGAAGAATGGTAGTGATGACTCTGTTGTCCATTGAAAATGTGTTATACGTCTGACGTGACATTCTCGTAATGTGGCCATTTACGTATCTATACAGAGAACCATGCGATGCAATTCACCGTCGCGGCGGCGGTCGCCGTTTACAATGTGGTCCGATTGTCCAGTCCCCTCATTGTGAAAGGATGAGTTGAATGCATCTCTTGCCGTAGAAAATTCTAAATGAAGATTCTAATAGCGATAATAATAATAATAATAATAATGCCTGCCCCATGACATATACAGCTTGGAATGGTAGGTAGCACTCATAATGGTGAAAGTGCACGTCGTACATACATATATGTACACAGGACGGAGAGAACGGAAGAACATTGTCGGGAACTCTAAAATTCTGGGCATATTGATCTGGTGTTCCTTCCCACTAGTAAACTTATACAGGAAGCATACAGTGAAAAGTATGGTCACGAGAAAATGGTGATAAATTCTGTCGATGGAGGATCCGATTGAGAATTGTTTAACGCGTTTATGTATATATGAATAAGTCCACAAGTAACTATTACTAAATGATCAACCCGGTAATTATTATGTCCAAAACTCAAATACACATATTTTATTACACAAGAAAACGTTGTTTGATCTTTAGTTTTTTAGAAAAATAGTTCCTCTACGGTACTTCTCACTCGATTGCGGTGAGACCTTTACAACACATCACATTGTATGAAATTTCTTTCTCGGGGTT